ATTTTATATTTATTATATATGTATTTAAGATTATATTTATTATATATTTGTTCAGTTGCATTAAGCACTCAATTATTGTTAACAATTATAACCATAATTATTACGAGAAATTTCTGAACGCTAGGCCTACAACTTTTAATTACTTATAATACTGATATAATAATATAAATCGTATATTAACATGCAATATATTTTTGCAACGTTACACTCTATCATATAATTATATATATATATGTACTTTCTCATTTGATTTCCAAACATAATTAGAGCTAATTTTAGAAAGCGTATGCCTTTCACAAAGCTGCTGGTAATTAAATATTATTTATGAATTTCTAACAGAAATGAGAATATCATGAATTTGTACAATTTAGTTGCACTTGCTGTATGAGCTTTAGTAACTTAATATAGCACAACAATATCTATACAAATTATTGCAATAAGCAGCTCAAATATATTCTAATAAATTTGCATTTAGTAAATTGTTTGTCTTCAGCTTTTATGCATATTTAATTACATTAAAGCAAATTCAAATTTTGAATATAAATATGAAAACATGAGTTTAACTTAAGGGAATATTTAATACTAAAAATAAATAAGTCTTTATGAAGGCGAAGAAACAAATTTAATAATTGAAATATTGTATACATATATAGTAATATTTGTTATTTAAAAACTATGCAATTTTAATAATTGAAATATTGTATACATACAATAATATTTGCTACCTAACAACTATTTCAATCAGTTAAAAGAATTTCATTTAATTCCACAAAACAAATAGGAAATATATGTATGCTATCAAATAATTTTGTTTATATATTCCTTATACACATTTCTCTACTCATACCAATTAGCATACGCTAACTGAGCACGTCGACGGCTTCCGCTTGTCATTCGACTTGGGTTAATCTAAAGCAATTCCTCAAATCATATTCCTTTGGCAGTGAGCGAAATCAGCGAGCTCAATGTGCAGCCTGACAACTGTGTAGCAAGTGCCATGAGGCACCAGCTGCATATCAATCACAAATACATTGTAGCAGTATACAGTTATACATACTCCACACAGGCACACATATCTTGGCAAATACATCATAAGTAGATACAAGTGTATGTTCGTGTGGGTGTGTGGGCCTGCGCCTGTGCTTATGCAACGAATTCTCATTGATTTCCATATTTTATTTATTACTGTTGCTACAGTGTGAGTGAGTGTGTGTTTTACTTTGTATGTGTGTGTTCTTGTTTGCCAATAGGTTACGATATGATACCGCTAACAGTTGATTTACACTTATTTACGTAGCATTTTTTATTTGTTCGTCTATCGTTTGCATACACTAGCACAGGGTAGTTGGATTTTTGGTAATGTCTGCGTACCGTCTTGAAGAAAATAAATTTTGTGTTAATAAAATAAAAACTGAGGCAGAAGATAGATTATCTGTATGTCCGTAAGTCAAAGATTCAATCAAGTTATTTGAGTTATTTGTTAATTAGAAATACAATAAATATTTTTAAAATGTATAGACTTATAAAGAGCAATGTCTACCATAATAAAACGCGTATAGCTGACTTATATATTAGAAACGTTAGGGATCATTAAAACACGCTTTAAAATTGAGAGTTTGGAATTTAATAATATGAGAAATAAATTTAATTCATTTTATATATGTTTACATATTATTTATTTACTTTAAAAACATTTTTAATATAGATTGTTGTAGGTATTCTCAAGAATATGAGACATAAATTTCATTATATATGTATGTTTATATACAATTAATTTT